ACCTAGGGGCACCTTCCAAGATTGCTACTGCTAGTGCCCTTGTCCCCACGGCAGGTCACTGCTGACCCACCTCCAAAGGAAACTCCAACTTTAGCAAGGAGGTCTGGTTCAGTCTCCTGTGGGGTCACTGCTCCTTTCACCTGGCTCATGGTGCTCGCAAGATTTTGTTTGTCCCCTTTGAAAATGGAGTCTCTTTTTCCCATAGTTCTGTGGAAGTTCTGTAATTAAATCCCACTGGCCTTCAGAGTCAGATTCCTTGGGGATTCCGAGTCTCTTTGCCAGATTCTCAGGCTTCGAAACCTAACATGAGGCTCAGAACCTTCACACCACTGGGAGACTTTTTTGGTATTATTGTTTTCCAGTTTGTTGGTTTCCCATCTGGCAGGTATAGGATTTATTTTTATTGTGCTGAGTGCCTCCTACATCTCGTTGCAGTTTCTTCTTTGTCTTTGGATGTGGGGTATCTTTTTTTGGTGGGCTCCAGATTTCTCCTGGGGATGGTTTTCAACAGCTAGTAGTGATTTCGGTGCTCTTGCAGGAGATGAGTGTGTGTCCTTCTACTCTGCCATCTTGAACCAGAAGCTAAGCCAAAACTTTGATATTTGACCATTTGATATATGCTGAACTATCTCATGCACACCCATCATATATTTATTCACCACCATGAATGTACATTTGGCTGAGAGTTGGACAGAGAGTTAATTACTTGAAATAGGTATGTTTTCTGTCTTCAAACAGTATGATTTTCTAAGAAAGATTTTTAAAATCAATATGTCAACATGCTGTACAGAAAATATTATTATTGAGTCATATCCAAGTTTCTGCAGTAACAAGCCAGGGTTCATTTATAAAAATTGATCACCAAAGATCCCACCAATTTATACATTTCATTCACCATATTTCAACTTTTATTATTTTAAGAATTTCCTATAGTCTACTTTTCAAGATCAAGGCCTTGCTTTTTAGTTTTAAACACCCCTCCCGCCCCTCCCCCCATATCCTCCATCAGGACCTTCTAACTGACAGTCCCTTAAACGGGGAGGAATTGACTCCCCAGAGCAGGAGCAAGTCTCCATTTCTTATTCCCACCCAGCATCCTGCACAATGGTAGGATACTGCTGGTCCTCAGGGATGTCAATAAAAGTGTAAGTGTAATAATGATAATAATCATAATGATAAGCTTAAAACAGTTTTACCAGTTAGACTGTTTGAAAATGACAATCTTGCTACATTTTTTTGTTTTTATTTTTTGTGGATTACTCTTGTCTTCTCTGGTGACCACTATATTTGTTATCTGGGTATCTCTTTACTTTTCCCTCAAATTCCTACATCATTTAGTCCAGTCAACTTTTCTGTCCTATACTATAGTTTTCTCAGCTTTAAAATAGGGAGAAGGGAGTGGATATATGTGTACTTAGAGCTGGGTTACATTGTTGTACAGCAGAAGCGAACACAACATTGTAAAGCAATTATTCTCCAATTAAAATCAAAATAGGGATAATGAGACTACTGTACTCCATTCAATATACCATCTCATGTTATGTACTCTATATGATGTTAAAATAAAAACTTACAAAATTGTCTTAAATTAGTAGATTATATAAAGCATCAGGGACACATTAAACAGCTGGGAGCGTTGTTACTGTGACAGGTGTATACAAAGTTTTCGCCATTAATTCATGTCTACCCTAAAAATGATTATGCCATATCTGAGCCTTGCTCAACTCTAATTTTTAATGCAAAAATTCTACCTCTGCAAATTAGAATAAGTTAATCTTTTCTAGTATTATAACCAGTATATCTGCAAATTTAAAAATTTTACTAGGAAATAAAATAATCCCATGACTGTCCCAAGCACACTGAGATGTTTAGTGGGCATCAGGTCACCATGCAGTCAGGGCACTTGGCATACAAGATGCTTCTTAGGTAGGAAATGGTGTATTAAGCGAAAATCTACATTATGCTGAAATAAAAAACACCTTGATTATGAATTTTAATGCTGCTTATCCATGTGAAATGACATTTTTAAAAAGTTAATAAAACTCTCCAATGCAAAACTATTTATAAATTTGAAAGCTTAACATAAGATCCGTAGTTAAAGGAAATGAGAAGATAAAAAGGTTTGGAAAATTGAGATTTATTATTTAAGGTAGCTACTGGGTCATACATTTGTCAAGTATGGCTTTCCCTCAATTGAACTGAAATGAACAAAGAAGTAATTTTGAAAATATTACAGATGATTTTGCTTCCACTGAAGCCAGGAATTTAACGTTTTGTTTTGGCATAAGGAAAATATTTAAACTTGATGTGAGTTTCAGACTGTTTATACATTGTAAAATATTTTAAACTACTTGAATGTTGCAGGAGAAATTAACCATTTATATTAAATAAAATCATTTTCCCTTTCCCCAGGGGCTCCTGTAAGTCTCAGTCTTGTCCTCAAGTCTTTCCACTGGATGGTCCCAATATCACAATTACTGCGCAGAATGTAGATGCCTTTCCCTTTCCGCGAATTAGTCTTTTTCCCCAGAAACAACCCAGAATCTGAAAACATAGCAAAACATGCTCAGATTTCCAGCCATCAATCGCAGCATAAACGGGCACCAGTATAAACCGCTCTGGCTAAAATCTCGTCCCAGGAAGGGGAGGATGGACGCAGGGGCAGGTGCAGAAATCAAGTTGTGAGCAAAACCCCTGCAAAGCTCCCCTGGGCAGTCTGGCCCAAAAAGGCAGTTTCCTCACAACTCCCGAGGCCCCAGGCTCTCCCTGGGCTTCAGCAGCACCTAGCTCAGCTGGAGGCTCCTGCCTACCCGGACTCCCCAGGTCACCCCTGGACCTGGCGCTGGAGTTAGAGGCACTGGACCTGGAGACAGATCTGCTGAGCGAGAAGGGCCAGTTGCTCTGTTACAGGGAGTTCTGTGGTGCCCTCCTGGTTGCTGGGGCACAAGAAAGTCAGATTTGAGCATTTGCTGAGCTGGAGCCCTGGGACTCATTTTCACTGAAGTGCTGATTTTGGGGGATTCCTGGTCTCTCAGAGGGTGGCAATGGTGATGATCACCATTCTCTCTTCAGCAGCACCTAGCTCAGCTGGAGGCTCCTGCCTACCTGGACTCCCCAGGTCACCCCTGGACCTGGCGCTGGAGTTAGAGGCACTGGACCTGGAGACAGATCTGCTGGGCGAGAAGGGCCAGTTGCTCTGTTACAGGGAGTTCTGTGGCACCCTCCTGGTCACTGGGGCGCAGGAACAGATTTGAGCATTTGTTGAGCTGGAGCCCTGGGACTCATTTTCACTGAAGTGCTGATTTTGGGGGATTCCTGGTCTCTCAGAGGGTGGCAATGGTGATGATCACCATTCTCCAGGGCTGGAGAACATCACCTTCCTTGTCATCAGGGAAGGGGTTGGAATATGGTGAGCTTGGTGATGCTGCAGACGTCCGGCTGTGTCAGCCTTTATTAACCAGCTGTTCCCAGCACCTTCCCGCAAATAGGATCTTTAAATAGGTCAGAATTGTTACTTTCTGCACTTTTCTCAATTTTGTCTCCACTGAAAAACTTTTCCCTTCTATTCTGAGCATCAGAGAATGTCACAGTTTCGATGCTTCTTCTGTGTTATTACACTGGACATGAAATGTACTCATGGAAAAGTCTCAATCCAAAAGGAAATATTCATCTATATGAGTCAACTCAGCTTGAAAGAAAAACCCAAGGCTCAATCTCTCTTCTTTAGTCTAAAAGAGAACTCAGAGGTGTGACTCCATAGTCTATTTTGACAGTTTTTAAATTGCACCAATTTTTAAACTGCCACATCTCTCTGCATTTCCTTTTTAAAGGAATACAAAATACATAAGGTTTGAATTCTTCAGTTATTTACAGAACTACAGCTCCTGTGTTCTGGTGGTCTACAGATAATAGTGACACAATAATGTACATGGGTTAATTCATAGAGTTCTCTTCATTTTCTCACCAAAGTGTGCTGAATGCACGCACACACATGTGACAATGTGCTTGGCGATGTAGATTCCAGGAGCATCAGGAGAGGATGATGACTGCCCTCCTGGGAGCAGGGGAGAGGACTCTGAAGGCAGGATGAGGAGGAAGGAGGCAGCAGGAGCTCAGAGCAGCTGAGGGCCGGGTCTCAGAGTTGATGAAGAGGAGGGACTGGGAGCGGCAGGAAGGTCTACTCTCACACTATCTGGGGCTCCTGAGTGTAGCTGACACCAGACAGTCATTTCGTCTTCTAAAACATCAAGACAACTTTAGTAGCAGTCACAGAGGACATCCTTTACTTCAAATAATACAAAGTTTGCAAATTAGGCTGACAATGTGGAACTGAGTGAATGATAGCAGTCTTTCATATCAATAGAACCAATAGGAACCTCTTTCTTCCACCCTCAGTTCAACCAAGAGAAGCTTTCCCTGCAAGTTACTTAACACAGTCACGGATCTGCATGTTGAATCCCTCAGTGTTCATTCTAGGAAAGGGAATGTCCACAGGACTGTGAAGAACCCAGGAGGCCAGGTTTCCTCCCTTTTGAGCAGTGCCTTGTATGTAATGGGGATAAATCCTATAGCACTTGACGTTCTTTGCTGAGGAAGAGGTTCAGGAAAGTTGTCTAACTTTCCTAGAATTTTGATGTTTTGTTCCTGGTCAGGGAACTATATTCTACAGGCTACAACCAAGACTTCCCATGCCACAAGTAAAGATCCCATCTGAGGTAAGGAATATCGAAGATCAAGCATGCTACAACTAGACTGGGCACAGCCAAATAGATACACAAAATAAATACATTTAAAATTCTTAAAAAACCCGAAGAAACCCAACCCATCAATGTGATCATATCACAAGGTGGGATATTAGGGAGATTAGGGTTAGCAATCAATAAAATTCAGTTTTATTTTTAATATCATAATTCTTGTTACCCAAGATCAGGATCCTTTGGAATCATTTCATTCCCTTTCATTCTAATTTTTTCAATGCAACTTCTCATTGCCCAGGTGGATTTGTCACAGATGCACAGCAAGGCTGGTCTCCTTGACTCTGTGAGAGAGGGTTAGTGTTCGAGCAACTGGGCTTCTGATTGCCCGTCTCCCATGAGCTGGTGCGTGTGACTTCTTCCATCTCCCCTTATAACTGACCACATATGGATTAAAGGAAAGAAAAATCAGGTGACTGGTCTTACAAAGCTGAGGGCAGTCTACAGACTCAGGACTTGGCCTTCCTTGAGCTTTTATCAGAAGCAGCATGTCCCAGCCTTTCTGTTGTTCATATTGACCCAATCCTTCCCTTCTGCCACAGGTTAGGCCCCAGCTATGCTGCCCTGAAGTTTGCTAACCCAGCATACATCACTGTGTCAGGGGAAAACCACTTCCCTTCTTTCATATTCATGACAGTGAGAATTACTCTTGTTTTCTTGTTGTCCACAAAACAATGGTGCAATTTTACTTTCTAGCAAAATTGCAAAGAGAAACAAAAAAATCTAACCTCTTGAAAGTGATGCAATCCCTCGGGCTTTCTTTACTTCCCTTTCTTGCTCTCACCTGATCATGAATTACAACCAGAGAAGGAGCAGTGAAACAAATTTTGTCCAACACTTCCCTAAGTGAATATAAAAAGTCTAAATGAAAAATTACACTCAAGGAAAGAAGGCTATTTCTCCTGATCTAATAGACTGGGTCTCAATGCCCTACATTCTCAGAGGAGACAGAAGGAGGAACAGAGATGCCCGGTGGAATCAACTGCCTGAATAAACGACTGTAACTCACTAGATTCTGTGACATAAGCTTCCAACAAGAGACAACACCAGCACTGAATCTCCTTCCTCCAGCTCAGAAACTCTGAGCAGAACAAGTGTTGAAGTGTTTAAGAGTTGAAAAATAAAAACTATACTTGGCAAAGTAGATATTATTTATCTACTAAAAGCAAAATGATTGCAGTTGGAAATTGTCTTCAGCACCTTACACAAACACACTTTTGCTCTCAGCATCTGAGCACTGCTGACACTTTGGACACCTGGGGAAACTGGTCAGGAGAAGAGGAGGTCACCACCAAGACCTAGGGTCCTTCACAGAAACACTCCAGGGGAGAGGATGGGGTCTAGGAAGAGAATTTATTTTCCCAACAAATAAACAAGCACTCTACAGAAAGGAGATTTTAAGGCCACAGGATGTGGTGAGCCTGCCCTCAGGGAGGAAGGGACTCTGTCAGCAGCAGGTGAGGAAGGGACTCTGTCACTCCAGAGGACAGGCTTTGGCTCCATGTGATCCTTCCCTTGTGAGTGAGGTGCTGATGGGAAACTACAATTATCCTGGAATTAGAGTCTCCTCACCCATGTTCCCTTAGAAGAACCAGGATTCTGGTGGGGGTACTGGCCCAGTCTGTGGAGGACGACAGGTCTCCAGGACGAAAATGGTGGAAAGAAAGGGTGATGTCTGTAATAGACCTGCCCTCGTGGTTCCCTGAAGGGCAGGGATCTGCAGGAATATGCAGATTTGATTCTCTAAATCAAACACTAAAGAAAACTCATCATTTGTTTCCAAGAGCTTAACTGCCAGAGGGATCTGGTAAATCCCTTATAAATATGGAAACCATAGCGCTGAGAGAGCCTGGCTTCCTATGGAAACTAAGAGGGAAAAATGGAGCCTAAGAGCAAGCCAACAATGTGTTCATGGATGAGAGGAGAGCAACACTTATGAATGAGAGAGAAGGGCAATAACATGTGTAATTACAAATGTCTATCAATTGAGACTTAAGACAAAGACATTTCTCATTTGATTGAAAAATATCCATTTGGATGGGCACATCTGAAGTCACTAGGAAAAGGCAAAATTTAGTCTAGAAGGAAGAAAATTTCTTTGACTATATTGAAAATACGTAACAGAAAACCAAAAAAGGAAGTAAAAGTGCATAGAAATGATTATAAAATGAAAACTGCCCTTTTCCCTATTTAATGGCTTTGCTTAGAAAACATGGCATCAGAGAACCTACCTCAAGGTTACGCCGTCTCCGCCAGCCCAGCAGCAGCCTCATCTTCCCCATGGCCTTCGTGCTCTCTCTACTGATGGCCCTGGTGCTGGTCAGCTACGGCCCGGGAGGATCCCTGGGCTGTGACCTGTCTCAGAACCACGTGCTGGCTGGCAGGAAGACCCTCAGGCTCCTGGGCCAAATGAGGAGGCTCTCCCCTCGCTTCTGTCTGCAGGACAGAATGGACTTCGCTTTCCCCCAGGAGATGGTGGAGGGCGGCCAGCTGCAGGAGGCCCAGGCCGTCTCTGTGCTCCACGAGGTGCTCCAGCAGACCTTCAACCTCTTCCACACAGAGCGCTCCTCTGCTGCCTGGGACACCACCCTCCTGGAGCAGCTCCGCACTGGACTCCACCAGCAGCTGGACCACCTGGACGCCTGCCTGGGGCAGGTGATGGGAGAGGAAGACTCTGCCCTGGGAAGGATGGGCCCCACGCTGGCCGTGAAGAGGTACTTCCAGGGAATCCATGTCTACCTGCAAGAGAAGGAATACAGCACCTGCGCCTGGGAAATAGTCAGAATGGATATCAGGAGATCCCTCTCTTCATCAACCAGCTTGCAAGAAAGGTTAAGAATGATGGATGGAGACCTGAACTTACCTTGACATGACTCTCACTGACTAAGATGCCACGTCACCTTTGTATACTCACCTGGGGTCATTTCAGAAGACTCTGAATTCTGCTTCAGCCACCAAATTTATTGACTTAACTCAGCCAATACATGTCAGTAGTAATAAGCAAGTAGATATCAAAGTGTTCAAGTCCAGGGGTATCAATCCATAAGCAATGACTGCACTGATCTTATTTATTTATTCTTTAGTTAATGTAATAGTTTATCTCATCATATTTCTTTTCCATATAAAAGATGTGTATGTTTACATTGTATTAAAATTTAGAAAATATATTTCCCTATTTAATTAAAATTGTCATTTGTTTTATTTATTAAATAGTTATCAAGATAAGTTTCTTGAGTTTTTATTTTGAAAACCTAAATCCTTATGTTGTCCACATACACCTATCAGAAAATAGTATTTGTTCACTTTATACTGTGTAACAGTTCTATCATTTTCTGAGAAATGTTTGTCAAAAGATGGAATTCTGAGAATTTTCTATGGGTGCAGTTGTTAGGACCCTGAGTTTTTCCTTCAGGGAGCCTTGGTTGAGGAACTAAGATCCTATAAACTGTGGAGGGTGCCAAAAAGAAAAAAGAAAGGAAATTATGAAATTGTAGAAAATGGTGAGTCTTGATGTCATAGGCATAACTGATTTATACCCACTCATTACAGAATGGTTGATATAAATGTCTGAGGGAAGCAGTCTCCTCCTGCAGGAAAGCTGATGACATGCGGTGTTGATGGCCGCTCATGACGCCTATTACTCTGCCTCCCACCTTCTCCTCAGTACTGCCTGACTGAGCGGTTCACCCCCTTACACAGCACCTTCACTGCCTCCATCACAGGAGCTCTGTTCTGTGCTGATTTCTTCCAGCTGCACGGTGTAGTCAGAGTGGAAGCCACAGGAAGAGAGCCCAAGTGAAAGGAGAGTTCTAGAAATTCAAAAACTTCTGAATCCCAGCCCTGCTATTTACCAACAAGTGTGACCCTGGAAAATCTCACAAATGCAACAGGTTAGTTTCCTCATCTTTAATATGGGAAAAATAAGAGTGGTTTTCATAGAATTACTGTTTGGAATCAATGAGTCCATATCACACAAGAGGATCAAGCGCTCCTGGCAGAAATCCTCAGGACTGTGAGGATCACAGAGTGGCTGCCCTCAGGGAGGAGACAGGACAGCTGGCCTGAGGCAGTGACTGGAAGGCGACACTGGAAAGGTGCTAGGCCCCTGGCAAAGATATTTTCACCTTGGGCGCTAGTTCCATAGGCTTTCAGTGTGAGAAGTTTCCTTTGCTGTATGCTGAAGAGCATTCCAATTTCTGGGTTTCATATCTCTAGAAAGGACTCCTATGAGTTCATAAAAAACTCTTTGAGAAAGACTAATTAGTAGAAGATGCTTGATCTAACATAAATACGATACTGGGAAAGAATAGAGACTGCGTATCAGTGCAGAGAATCAAAGACAAGCAGAGGCAGCAAGGAAACAGCAGGGGCTGTGAAGTGTATGGTTCTGATCTCCAGTTCTGGGCTGTCCCAGGTTCAATCCTACTTCTCGTTTCCATAAAATCCCTTGTCCATACTTGCTGGCAATGTCACCTCCTGGAGCCTCTCTTTTGCTACTGAAGGAACAAAACCCAACAAGTGGTTCAGAAGCCCGTTTTACCTCTTCTCATACTAAAGAAGTGAGAAACATTACTAATGAATGAAGTGCTTGATTTTCCGCAACCTCCAAGGGGACTTAGACCAAGGGCCACCTTCCAGGATTGCTGCTGCTAGGACCCTTGTCCCCAGGGCAAGCCACTTCTGAACCACACTTCCATAGGAGACTCCAACTTTAGGACCTAGGTCTGGTTCAGTCTCCTGTGGGGTCACTGCTCCATTCCCCTGGGTCTTGGTGCATGCAAGATTTTGTTTGTCCCCTGCAAGGAGCGTCCCTCCCACAGTTCTGTGGAAGTCCTGGAATCAAATCCTACTGGCCTTCAGAGTCAGATTCCCTGGAGATTCCCAGTCCCTTTGCAGGCTTGGAAGAATGACATGAGGCTTGGAAGCATGACATGAGGCTCAGAACCTTCACACCAGTGGGGGAACTTTTTTGGTATTATTGTTTTCCAGTTTGTTGGTTTCCCATCTGGAAGGTATAGGATTTATTTTTATTGTGCTTGAGCACTCCTATGTCTCATTGTAGTTTCTTCTGTGTTTGGACGTGGGGCATCCTTTTTCGGCAGGCTCCAGAGTCCTCCTCTGGATGGTTGTTCAACAGCTAGTTGCGATTTCGTTGCTCTTGCGTGAGGAGAGAAGTGCATGTCCTTCTACTCTGCCATCTTGAGCCAGAAGCTAAGCCAAAACTTTAATTTTTGACCATTTGAAAAATGCTGAACTATCTCATGCACACTACCATATCTTTTATTCACCATCATGGACATACATGTGGCTGAGATTTGAACAGGGCATTAATTACTGGAAATAGGTATGTTGTCTATATTCAAATAGTATGATTTTCTAAGAAAGATTTTTAAAATCAATATGTCAACATGCTGTACAGAAAATATTTTTATTGAGGTATATCCAAGTTCCTGCAGTAACAAGCCAGGGTTCATTTATAAAAATTGATCAACAAAGATCCCACCAATTTCTACATTTCATTCACCATATTTCAACTTTTATTATTTTAAGAATTTCCTATAGTCTGTACTTTTCAAGATAAAAGTTTTTCTTTTCATTTTAAACTCCCCTCCCCTACACACATCCTCCATCAGGATCTTCTAACTGACAGACCCTTAAATGGGGAGGAATTGACTCCCCAGAGCAGGAGCGAGTCTCCATTTCTTCTTCCCACCCAGCATCCTGCACAATGGTAGGATACTGCTGGTCCTCAGGGGTGTCAAGAAAAGTGTAAGTGTAATAATGATAATGATCATAATGATAAGCTTAAAATAGTTTTACCAGTTAAACTGTTTGAAAACACCAATCCTGCTATATTTTTTGTCTTTATTTTTGTGGGTTACTCTTGTCTTCTCAGATGACCAGTATATTTGTTATCTGGGCATCTCTTTACTGGTCCCTCAATTTCCTGCCTCATTTAGTCCAGTTGATTTTTCTGTCCTATGCTACTGTTTTCTCAGCTTTAAAATAAGGATATGGGAGTGGATATATATGTACTTATATATGGCTTACGTTGTTGTACAGCAGAAACCAAGAAAACATTGTAAAACAATTATTCTCCAGTTGAAATCAAAATAGGGAAAATGAGAATACTATACTCTATTCAATATACCATCTCATGTTATGTACTCTATGTTAATATAAAATGATGTTAATATAAAAACTTACAAAATTATCTTAAATTAGTAGATTATATAAAGCATCAGGGACACATTAAACAGCTGGGAGAGTTGTTACTGTGACAGGTGTAACAAAGCTTTCACCATTATTTCATGTCTACCCTAAGGATGACTATGCCTTATCTGTGCCTTGCTCAACTCTAATTTTTAATGCAAAAATTCTACCTCTGCAAATTAGAATAGGTTAATCTTTCCTGATACTGTACTAAGCATATCTACACATTTAAAAATTTTACTAGCAAATAAAATAATCCCATGACTGTCCCAAGCACACTGAGACGTTTAGTGGGCATCAGGTCACCATGCAGTCAGCGCATTTGGCATACAAGATGCTTCTTAGGTAGGAAATGGTGTATTAAGTGAAAATCTACATTATGCTGAAAGAAAAAACATCTTGATTATGAATTTTAAAGCAACTTATCTAAATGAAATGACATTTTAAAAGAGTGAATAAAACTCTCCAATGCAAAACTATGTATAAATTTGATAACTTAACATAAGATCCTTAGATAAAGGAAATGAGAAGAAAAAAAGATTTTGAAAATTGAGATTAATTATTTAAGGGAGCTACTGGGTCATAAGTTTCTCAAATATGGCTTTCCCTCAATTGAACTGAGATGAACAAAGAAGTAATTTTGAAAACATTACAGATGATTTTGCTTCCACTGAAACCAGGAACTTAAAGTTGTGTTTTGGCATAAGGAATATTTAGACTTGGTGTCAGTTTCAGACTTCTTTATAGATTTTTAAAATATTTTCAACAACTTGAATGCTGCACGAGAAATTAACCATTTATATTAAATAAAATCATTTTCCCTTTCCCCAGGGGCTTCTGTGATCTCAGTCTTGTCCTCAAGTCTTTCCACTGGATGGTCCCAATATTGCAATTACTGTGCAGAATGTANTCTCAAGTGTCTTCTCCAACACCACAGTTCAAAAGCATCAATTCTTCGGCGCTCAGCTTTCTTTATAGTCCAACTCTCACATCCGTAAAATTTAATAAAATCATTGTAATAATATTCGTCTCCGGATTGGAGATGTCTTTCCCCCTTCCCCTGGAAATAATCCTGAATCTGAAAACACATCACAACATGCTCTGATTTCCAGCCGTCAATCGCAGCTTAAACGGGCACCGCTCTGGCCAAAATCTCCTCCCAGGAAGGGGAGGAAGGACGCAGAGGCAGGTGCAGAAAATGCGAGGCTCTGAGCGAAGCCGCGGCAAGGTTCCCCTGGGCAGTCGGGTTGGAAAAGGAAGTTTACTCACGGCTCCCGCGTCCCCACACGCTCCCTGAACCCCGGCGGCGCCTCGCCCGGGCTCCCGGGATCTCCCGGTGGATCCGGCGCTCGAGTTCGCGGCCCTGGAGGAGGGTCGCGCTGGGTGGGCCTTGTGGTCAGCGCGTTATGGCGAGTTCGGGCGCCCCCTCCCGGCCGCTGGGGCGCAGCGAGGGCAGCTTTGAGAGCCTTGAGTTGTATGCCTGAGACTCCGTTTCACTACAGTGCTGAGTTTGGGGATTCCTGGTCTCTCAGAGGACGGCAATGGTGATGATCACCATCCTCCAGGACTGGAGAACATCATTCTTGTTGTCGTCAGTGAAGGAGCTGGCAGGCCCCCGCCCTCCCCGGGGGGAGGGTGGTGGTTGTGGTTGATTGTGCTGCATATTTATCCAGCTGCTCTGAGGACCTTCCTGCAAATGAGATGCTTAATTAGGCCAGAATTGTCATTTTCAGCACTTTCCTCATTTTAGTTTCCACCTAAAAACTTTCCCTGTCTATTTCCGGCATCAGAGAAATGTCACAGCTTCGATGCTTCTTTTGTGTAGTTACACTGGAAATGAAATACACTCATGGAAAAGTCTCAGTCCAACAGGATGTATTCATCTAAATGAGTCAACTCAGGTTGAAATAAAACCCAAAGCTCGATCTAACTCTCTTCTTTAAGTCTAATAAGAAAACTTAAGAGGTGTGACCCCCTACTCTATTTTGACAGTTTTTAAACTGCACCAAAATATATCTAGCCACAACTCTCTGTATTTCCTTATTAAGATCTAATACATAAGGTTTGAATTTTTCCACAATGATTTACAGGACCATAGCTCTCATTTTCTGATGGTCTACAGATAATAGTGGCATAATATTGAACATGGGTTCATACATACAGTTCTCTTCATTCTGTCACCAAAGTGTGCTGACTGCATAAATATGTGACAATGTGCTTGGTGATGTGGATTCCAGGACAGTCAGGCAGGGATGGTGGCTGCCCTCCTGGGAGCAGGGGCGAGGACCTCGGAGGCAGGATGAGAGGAAGGAGGCAGCAGGAGGTCAGAGCAGCTGAGGGCCGGGTCTCAGAGCTGAGGTAGAGGAGGGACTGGGAACAGCAGGAAGCTCTACTTTCAGACAGTCTGGGGCTCCTGAATGTAACTGACACCAGAATTTGATTTCCTCTTCTAAAAAACCAAGACAACTTCAGTAGTGGTCACAGAGGATAGCATGTTCATCAGATATAAAGTTTGCAAATTATAGGCCGAGAATCTGAACTTAATGAATGATAGTAGCCTTTCATATCAATATAACCAATAGTAATGTCTTTAGTCCATTCTCAGTTCAACCAGGAGAAGCTTCGACTGTAAGGCCCTTAACGCTGTCAGGGGTCTGTATGTTGAGGCCCCCAATGCAAACTCTAGGAGAGCGGGCTGCCCATAGGATTGTGAAGAAGCAGAGCCCAAGATTCCAGTCTTAGAGAAGTGCCTGGAACATTCTGGAAAAAAATCTTACAGCACTTAAATCCTTTTGCAGAGAACCAGCACCTCAGAAAATTGTCCAAAAAACCAAACCAAACCAAAACAAAAACATGGCTCTCTGTGAAAAATACAAATGAGATAAACTGTCCCTTACCTCATCCTCAGTTAGTCTCAGACCACCTCTGGTAATATTATTTTAAGACAAAGATTTTTTTAACGGCTAAAGAGACCAGGAAATCAGTTATACAACGAGATAGGGGAGAGGATGGCAAGAAATGGGACATTCCTATACTTTCATCCAGGGAAGATGGCAACAGTACTTCTAAAGCTATTTCTTGGGTTAGTATTGGGGTAAACTAAGAAAGGACTTTTCTTAAGTATGAAATGTAAAAGGCACCAAATCTAAGATGTCAAGATAGATAATATTGTAATTCAATGTTAAAAAAAGAAAATGCCAAAACACACACTGAATGAAACATCAAAATTTTAAATAAAGACAAGAAATGACCCTGCATTTGCACGGCCATGTCTTACAAGGGAAGGTTTCACTTCAATGAACTCTGGGAAATTTACGTTGAGTCTATAAAAGTCTTACCAAAGAAAATGAAAAGATAGACCTGGTAAACTTCCTCAATGCTTCGTACAAGACATTGCCTCTTTTTCCTTCCCTGCTTCCTCCCTCCCTCTCTCCCTTCCATTCTTCTTTCCTTTCTTTTTGGCTGCACAGCACTGCATGTGGGATCTTAGCTCCCTAACTAGGGATCAAACTGGCACCTTCTGCATTGAAAACTCAGTCTTAATCCTTGGACCACCGGGGATATTTCCACTAACTCTTCTTTCCATACAACACTCAGGTGGGTCCTGGCAGCAGTGTTTCAGAAACCCAGGTTAAAAAAAAAAATAAGGCTGTTACAGAGTCACAAAAAATTGTCAAGCAAGAACAGAAATGATCTTGAATATATGAATGAGTTTGCTTCCATTAAAGCAAAGAAAGCAAAATTAAATTATTGTTGTAATATAAAGAACTGTAGTTTAAATAGAATTTAATAAAATGCTGTTTAATACTCATATGCATTTTAATACCATACAGCAAATATTTAAATATTTTCATTAAAATATTTCAAAATATAAATATTTTAAACAAGTTAAATATGATCAATATTAATTGTTTTTAAATATTAATAAATTCGTACATATAAAAATACAGTGCTATGAGTGTTTTAATATTCCTACTTCTCAGTTAATTAATGCTTACTCCCCCACTTCAAGGCCGATACCTTAAAAGACATCCTGAAAGTCCCAGAGCACCTCCAGGGGCGCACAGCTCCCCTGTCCTCGGCCGGGGTGGGGACTGCGCTCCGATTCACCCCCAGGAGTCCCCAACACCGTCCAGTCGTCCCATCGCCGCGGCCAAGTTCCCTATTCCCTGAGCTGTCCTTTCATCGCGTCAGAAACGAGCCCGAATCTAAAATAGGCTCCAACTCGCTCTGATTCTCCGCCTCAAACCCCTTAGTAAACGTATTTTCTTTGTAAAGACATGCCAAGTCGCTCAGCTCTGTCCGACTTTTTGAGACCTCCATGGATTGTAGCCCACCAGGCTCCTCTGTCCATGGGATTCTCCAGGCAAGAATACTGGAGTGGGTGCTATTTCCTGCTCCAGGGGACCTTCCCAACCCAGGGATCGAACCCAGGTCTCCCTCATTGCAGGCGAATTCTTTACCGTCTGAGTCACCATGAAAGACCTCTGTAAAAATGGCCTCGCTCAAGTTTCTGGGCGAAAAGAAAGCACCAAACTCAGGGGAAAGCAGAAAACGCAAGGTTCCGGGCTTGCCACCACACGAAAATGTCTCTGGCGAGGGCTCGGAAATGAAAGTTTCTTCGTGCACTATTAAAGCCAGCCCTTACTGTGAGCGGTCCCTTCATGGCGCCAGAAAGGAGCCCGAATCTGTAAAATCGGCCCCAAGTCGCTCTGATTTTCCGCTTCAAACGCCTCCCTAAACGCGTTTTCCTTGTAAAAGTGGCCTCTCTCAAGTTTCTGTGCGAAAATAAAGCACGACACTCAGGGGAAAGCAGAAAACGCGAGGTTCCCGGCTTGCCACCACACAAAACGTCTCTGGCGAGGGCTCGGATTGAAGATTTCTTAGTGGACTACTCAAGGAGTACTAACCTGGTCTCTGACAGCGACGCTTTTCCTGCTGAAAAGGCTGCCAAACCCGCTGAAACGAAGTCTCAGAACTCGGAAACTCGCTATAAAACCTGTAAGAAGACATCCTCCGCCCTCCTGTGAAAGCCCAGAGAGGCGCGCTGTGCCAGGACCGGGAGAAGAAACCTTTCGCTCTTTGATTAGTGGTGTCCGCGCGCCCCCTGTTGGCCTTCCAGTAAATCAGGGAAACAATGTGTGGCCAAGATCTATTTGCTAGTTGCAGGAGTCATATTCTGCTCCATCCCTGCTTGTCCCCTTGACAACAAATTCTTCATACACTCGATACAGATGAAAACGATCCCCTCTCAGTCATGCCTAGAGCACAGACACGACTTCAAGTTTCCTTGGAGAAGAAGAAGTATTTCCAAGGAATCCATCTCTACTTGAAGGGAAAGGCATACAGCCCCTGTGCCTGGGAGGTTGTCAGAGTGGAAATTGAAAAGTGCCTTTCCCTCATGTAAGAATCCTCAAGAAAAGTCAACAGATAAAATGAAAATTATACTTGTGACAACTCTCTACTCAATCAGATTGTTGTTTTCTCAACTCTCCAAAGTGAGCTGGACTTCTGTTTGCTTACAAGCTGAAAAATAACTGAAATAAAAATCGTAGTTTTACAAAAATAGAAAAACAAAGTCTCTTTTCTTAAATAAACAATTTTATAACACAATGTAAAAGATCTTTATGTATTTGGGGGTATTTACTATTTTCAACATCCGAAGTTTACTTTTTTATGGGAGTTTTTAGGAGAGTATGTTGTTATTAAAGGTATTTGTCAGTTAACCTAATGTTTAACCTCTGTAACAGGTAAACAGAAAAATGTCAGGAATTTGATTCTAATGGACACTTTCCTTTCCTTCTTTGAAGAGCAGAATGCAGGCCTTCTTGATCAGGTGAATCTTCTAGTTTGCTCTTCTCCAAAAAGTGAGTCAGGGAAATGGGTCCCCTTGTTTTTCAATTTTTCCACTATTAACATGTGACTTCAATTTTGTCTGTAGTACTTGAGTCTATTCTCCTTGAAGGCAAAGGGAAAAGATTAGTGGATCACATGAGATGTTTCCAAGGGCCAGGACTACACGGGGGTAATGGCACTTCTGCTCACATTACCCGGCCCAGACTTATCCTCATTGGAGTCTCATTGCAAGGAAGTTTGGAAATAATTGGATGATTAAGACAAAAGGAGACAAGTTCAGTGCACAAGACCATTTTTTCACTATTTGTCCTAATGGAGCTCTGGGTGGGTGTGCAAGGGGAAAACCAATATTTTGCTTGCACACACTCTGATTTAAACTCTTATTTCATAGTTTCAGCTTGGGGAAGATGACAGAGATGTCACTCAGAGTTCAGAGCATCATAGACTATTTGAAAGAAGCACTCAGATTGACTCCCAAAGGCATAGGCTAATGAGGAAAACATCTACAAGTGTAGACAATGTGTTTCCTTACTACCTGAAGGAGGCAAGGAAAGAATGATCAGGCAGCTCCTTGCAAGTACTTGAGAATCACTGAACTAAAAGTGGACAGTGAGTCTTCCACTCACCATACATTCCAAATATTGAAAATACAAACTTGAATAAAATATTTCTGCAAATGATCTTTAAAAAGTATCTCACACAATATTTCATCATATCTTCCCTTGTAGAAGCATGAAGAATCTTTAAATTATTGTGTTCTCACATCATATATATATATATGTGTGTGTGTGTGTGTGTATATATATATATATATATATATAATAGATATTTGTATTATTGTTTCTCCTATCATTATCATCCTTGTGAATTGATGTTACTTGAATATTGATTGAGCTCAAGAAATGTTTCGGCCCAGACTAGATGTCTAGGAAATAGGGTTCAGTAATATAATTTCTTTCCCTTCAGAAATTTTACAGACTCCGGAGGTATTCTGAGGATAAAACAGGGCATGTAATATCTTACTATTCAAGCTTCTTCAACAAAATAGCATAGACTGGGTAGTTTGCAAAGACCAGAACTGTATTACTCAAAGGTAGTTCTCAAGTCTGGATATCCGAGAACTGTGTGTCAGTTTGGTCCAGTTGTGGTGAGAGCCTGCTTCAGGTCTCACACTGCAGAGTTCTCCTTGTATCATCACAGGGAAGCAGAGGGAGTAGTTTATATCCACCTCTTTTATAAGGGCATTATTTCTTTATGTGAGGAAATGATCCTCACACCCTAATCATGTCCCAAAAGGTCTGTCACCTATATCATTACTTTGGGGTTTATGACCTTGTGATACGACTTTGGTGGGGTCCTAAACATTCAGAATATAAAGGTCTTTAAAGTCTACATGCTTGACATGCAGAAGTAAGAAAATAGTCACACTGAATAAAAAAGAATTAGCAGGTTAGTAGGAAAAATAAGGAAACCAGGGATTCAGATCTAAACTCTAGATTTTCAACCTGTTGTAAGGCTTTAATTATTACATGTCAAAAACTGGAAGCCAAACTAAAATAAGCTTACCATCCATGCAATGGAATAAAATAGAGCATGGAAATGATCATTCATCATTCCTTGTGAGGCGTCTCTGAAGTATCTCAGGATCAGTGTAGTAGTAATTGCCATGTCGGTAAAGATCCACCAAAGAGTATTGTAGTAAACTGCCTGCTTCTTGCTGTGAGCTATGAGCATCAGGGAGAGTTTGAGTTCAGATACATAGCTCTGTGTATGATTCCCGGCACGTTCTTTTCTGTCATGACCTCAGTTCAGTTCAGTCTTTCAGTCATGTGTGACTCTTTACGACCCCATGAACTGCAGCACACCAGGCCTCCCTGTCCATCACCAACTCCCAGAGCTTGCTTAAACTCATACGCATTGAGTCAGTGATGCCATCCAACTATCTCATCCTCTGTTGTCCCCTTCTCCTCCTGCCTTCAATCATTCCCAGCATCAGGGTCTTTTCCAGTGAGTCAGTTCTTCGCATCAGGTGGCCAAAGAACTGGAATTTCAGCATAAGTCCTTCCAGTGCATATTCAGGACTAATTTCCTTTAGGATGGACTGGTTTTGTTCTCCTTGCAATCCAAGGGACTCTCAAGAGTCGTCTCCAACACCATATTTCAAAAGCATCAATTCTTTGGCACTCAGCTTTATGGTCCAGCTCTCACATCCATACATGACTACTGGAAAAACCATAGCTTTGACCATACAGACCTTTGTGGCCAAAGTAATGTCTCTGCTTTTTAATATGCTGTCTAGATTAGTCATAGCTTTTCCTCCAAGGAGGAAGTGTCTTTTAATTTCATGTCTGCAGTTACCATCTGCAGATGGTATTTGGGGGTATTTGGAGCCCCCCAAAATAAAGTCTGTCACTCTATCCTTTGTTTCCCCATCTATTTGCCATGAAGCAATGGTACTGGAAACCATGTTCTTACTTTTTTGAATGTTTTCAGTTTTCAGCCAGCTTTTTCACTCTCCTCTTTCACTTTCATCAAGAGGCTCTTTAGTTCCTCTTTCCTTTCTGCCTAAGGGGTGGTGTCATCTGCATATCTGAGGTTATTGATATTTCTCCTGGCAATCTTGACTCCAGCTTCTGCTTCATCCAGCCTGGCATCTCACATGATGTCCTCTGGATGTAAGTAAAATAAACAGGTGACAGTATACAGTCTTGATGTACTCTTTTCCCAGTTTGGAACCAGTCCATTGTTCCATGTCCAGTTCTAACTGTTGCTTCTTGACCTGCATACAGATTTCTCAGGAGGCAGGTAAGATATTCTGGTATTCCTATCTCTTGAAGCATTTTCCACAGTCTGTTGTGATCCACAAGGTTAAAGGCTTTAGCCTAGGCAGTGCAGTAGAAGTGGATGTTTTCTGGAATCATGACCTAGTTGAGGACAATCAGGGGTGAGGCATCCTCCTGAGTTTAATATAGTGCTGGGCAAAGGCTGAAAAGTGTGTTGCACTTGCTACTTGAATCCCCAGACCACGTGTGCCTTCAAGGAAGGAGACTCCTAGTGGTTTTAGCAACAAACTCAGTATGACTGGCACAAGCAAGAACAGAATGGAAATACCAGCCACTGTCTATTATAATTCCAGGAAATGGGGCCCAGATGAAGCAAAATAGCTTGGNAGTTGAGGACAATCAGGGGTGAGGCATCCTCCTGAGTTTAATATAGTGCTGGGCAGAGGCTGAAAAGTGTGTTGCACTTGCTACTTGAATCCCAGACCACGTGTGCCTTCAAGGAAGGAGACTCCTGGTGGTTTTAGCAACAAACTCAGTATGACTGGTACCAGCAGAAATAGAGTGGAAATACCAGCCACTGTCTATTATAATTCCGGGAAATAAGGCCCAGATGAAGCAAAATAGCTTGGTCATTTGTAAATGCCTTCCAGTAGTAGGAGGAAATCTGAGAAACTGCTATAGCTAAAATGACTTGTTGAGGACTTCTCTGGTGGTGCAGTGAATAAGAATCTTTCCTCAGGAAAGACAGGTTCGATCCCTGGTCCAGGAAGTGTCCACCTGCCACAGAACAACTAAGACAGCACTCCACTGATCCTGAGACCCTGTTCTAGAGCCCACATGCTGCAGCTGCTGAAGCCTGCATGCTGGAGCCCGAAGAAGACTCACAGGAAGGAAACCAGGAGCTGCGAGGAAGAGTGAGCCCCATTGGATACAACTAGAGAAAGCCCAGGGCTCCCCCGCTCAAGGGGGACTCCAGCCTGGCTCTGAGGAAATACTTCCACGGAGTCACTCTCTATCTGCAAGAGAAGGGGCACAGCCCTTGTGCCTGGGAGGTTGTCAGAGCAGAAGTCATGAGAGCCTTCGCTTCCTCAACACACTTGCAGGAGAGATTCCGNTCAATGTATGACAAAAACTACTGTAATGATGTAAAGTAATCAGCCTCCAACTAATAAAAATAAATGGGAAAAAAAATATTTGTCCCATTCTAAATTAATTTAAAGATGGTTTCCTTTTATTTGAAAAGAATAGACTTGGATTGTAACTTGAAAGTCATTTGGGAAATCTGAAATTTAATGCAAATAAACAAAGAGAGAGATTCATGTGGATGGTGATTCCTAAATCATGCTTGCTCACTGGTGATGAGATTCCTCCACACATGCAGACATCAGTTTTCTGAAACATGAACAAAGCTTGTCATTACAATGATTTATTATTACATTTCAAAATCCAATCAGATACAACAAAATCTGACTCCTTAGTATTTCTTTCTGTCTTTGGCCTTTCTTGTGTATCATACGTAAGAGGAGCATTGAGATTGAGTTTATGGAATATAAGCAAATTGTATACAAGGTCAGTGGTGCAACCTAAGGTGACTTAATGGTTCGCTGGAGGACTTTGTCTCCATCATTGGTTGATTTCAAAGTCATATTTTCAGAGGTGGCCTTTCCACACTTATAAGCAACCATTGTCTATCTTGTGTATGTTGGTTACATTTGAAACTCAGTGTGATTTGGGTTCCAGAAATTAAATAAAAATGCAAAATTGTATTTATAAATAAAATACAAAAATATACATTTTTATGTAATTCTACTATAGCTGTTCAACATACTCAAGTGTTAAACAGAAAAAAAGTGCTGATGAATATCTAGCAGGCAGTAAAACTAAAAATTACTTTCTGATATGAAGAAAATTCAATGTTAAATACCTAAACTAAATATTTTAGAACTCGTTTAAGTTATTCAACGATTTGAACAGCTTTGAATGACTTTTAAGAGTGTCTATACCTTGGTATTGTTATATTTATGTAAGTTCTATTTGAATATGTAATTTGATACATTCCTACTTATATAAGTAAACATATGACATTAAAAGTCACTCAGAATACTTAGTTTATAAAGTTAAATTCAGTAGCTTTCTTAGTTTTGTTCTGGTAGATACACTTTTTGGTTTCCTTTGTTTGCTGGGCCAGTCTATAGTACTTTATTTTTGGTGGACTGTTTTGATTTTGCTTATGGGTGTATATGTACATGCATATATTTGGTCACACGTTTTATTGTTAGAGACCTCTGCATCTACGCTAGGCTTTTGCAGTTCTGCATAGGTATCCTTGTGTTTTTTCTTGTTTTCTTTATTCTTCTTTTGCCCCCCTCTTTTCTATAAGTTTTTTTTAATCAGCAGCTCACTGACCTGCAAGCCTGTCTGAGGCAGGAGCAGGGGCTGCAAGGGGCTCCCCTGCTCAAGGGGGACTCCAGCCTGGCTCTGAGGAAATACTTCCACGGAGTCACTCTCTATCTGCAAGAGAAGGGGCACAGCCCTTGTGCCTGGGAGGCTGTCAGAGCAGAAGTCATGAGAGCCTTCTCTTCCTCAACAAACTTGCAGGAGAGATTCCGGAGGAAGGACTGACAGACACCTGGTTCAACACGGAAATGATCCTCACAGACCAACAAGATCACACTGCCTCCTGCACGGCCGCGTCAAGGACTCTCATTTCTGCTGTCATCCTGCCCTGAATTGATTCAATTTGTCGAATATTTCCTTGAATATTAAGTGCCATCATGTTCTACTCTACAGGCACTTTATTCCTCACAGATGCTGAAGCTGATCTGTCTACTTATTCACTACCTGGACCATTATTTATCTATTTATAAATATTTAAATGATCTTGATACAATATTATGTATGTGTATTTATGTGAAAATGTATATTTTGTATTTAGTCAGTTTATCATTTTTCTTCATTCACTAAATTCTTACTGTAATAAAGTTACTTTGTTTTTTCCCTAAAACAGAAACACCAAGTCTGAATGGCAGCTTGATAAAAAAAAAAAAATGCATTTTATAAAACCTTGACCCCTCTTTAGGATTTGAATGTTAGAAATAAAAAATACACAAGCTCTACCTGTGTTGTTTGTTGCTCTGAGGACCTCGAAGAGTACATAACTACTCCAATACATTTTGTAACTGATTGTTTCAAAAGGAATGTCACCTAAAAACAATGATCAACAAAATCCATGCTTCAGGATTTGATGAACTCTTGGGAAGGGCTTTCTGCCTCTTGTTGGTTGTCGACATTTTTTCCCTGGAAAGTGGTAGAGATGCTTGAAGACATGATAGTCAGTTGGCGAGAGGTCAGGTGACTATCTTATCTTTACACTCAAATATCACAATTATTCACTTCCTCCCAGTGTAGGAATCCTCAGCATGCTCTCCTCATTCACTCTGCATGAAGGCGTCCTCTCCATTCAGACAGCTGTGTCCTTCTCCATTATGGTTTCTGGTTGTCAATTTCCCCTTAAGACTGCAAACCACCAACTAAAAGCAGAACCTGAGTGAAAGTTCTAGATTTGTCAGGCACTCCCCTATGACCTCACCTGCTCTGCCTGCCAAGCACTGCAGGCCCAGCCTCCCAGAGAAACACAGTACATAGAGGGACCCCCCCCCACCACCACCCAGTGAACAATGGTGGAGACTCCAGGGGCTCCTCTGAGTGTCTACCTGGGCTCTTCCATGTGGTGATTAGACTAGGAGGAGCTTGCCTGGGTCAGGAGTCTCTTTTGCTCAAAAATCCCAAAGCGCAGGAAACTTGGAGTTGAAAGTCAGCAGCAGTTTGAGAACTTGGAAGGAGAACAGAGAAGTCTAAAGTGTTCCCTGGAACAGCGGCAGGTCCTCAGGACATGGAACAACACAGATGAGCTGCACTCAGGCAAGAGGGTCACTCCTGTCACAGCTTCAGACTTGTTTCCTCCTTGGGACCCAGCAAGGTATCTCAGAGCAGAGCAAGATGTACCTGGCGAAAATGCAATCCAAGGAAGTTCTTAAATTCCACCATGATGTCTTTGCAACTTTGAGAGACAAAATCAAACAAGCTTGAATAAAAGAGCCACAGGCAGGCCTTTAGAACATTTATTAACAGTGGGACAGAGCCGTCCCCTCAGGACATATGTCAGGAATGTGCAGACTGGGAGACTGCAATTTCTCAAAGTAAAGAAGATCTTTGTGGAAATTCATGTATTTAATGTAGGCAATTTTGAAGGAGGGCATTGATGGATCAGTCATCTTTCTCCTCTTCCCAGTTGGGACATATAGCACATATAGCTACATGTAAAGTCAGAGGGGCATTTTTTAATATAATTTTATTTATTTACTTATTTTTCTCTGTACTGGGTCTTCGTAGCTGCATGTTCTTTCCTCTAGTTGCCCAAAGTGGGGCTTCTCTCTAGTGGTGGTGCACAGGCTTCTCATTGCAGTAGCTTCTCTCATTGAGAAGCATGGTCTCTAGGGCACTTGGGCTTCAGTAGAGGTGGTCCCAGGGTCTAGAGCACAGGCTCAATAGTTGTGGTCCATGGGCTTCACAGCCTCTACATGTGGTCACATGTAGTCCTATGAGTCACCTGCCTTGGCAGGCAGATTCCTTACCACTGAGCCACCAAGGAAGCCCCTCAGAGGGCATTTAAAGTACATTGAGAGGTTTAGAAAACTTCTTGATGATTACAGTCCTGAAACAAGTAGAAAACATTCCTTTATTACTGGTAAACATATCATTTTATTAACAAATTATTTTCTAAATAACTTTTTAATGTCAATTCTATACTATTACTTAATGATGCTTAATAAGTTGATCTAGAAATTTTTAAAAAAGATAATTACACAAGGCATTGAGGCTTACTTCACAATTCAAGCCAGTCTCTCCCTGCTAAGGAGAAAAATCTTCACTGCTCCTATCTAGGAAGCACATGTTTTTCCATCTTTGTCACACACAGACCTCCTCAGCACCCACATCTTGACCAGTAGTTGGAAAATAAGGAGCAGAGGTTCTTCACTGGACTCGACAACAGGATGACCCATTTGGACTGGAAGTGAGAAATGCCGGTGTCTTCCTTTAGAATGAGAACAACAGGTTGTGGGAGTTCATTTTCTTGGGAGGACTTGCTGAGGACTACAGGCTGGAGGTCAGCCTCTCTTCTGCTCTAAGGGATTGCTCCATGGACATAGGGGAGGTCAATATGCATGTGACTGTGGTGAAGGGGTGACTGACGTACTGATAAGCTCAGATCTTGGGAGACTGTGGCTGAGAATCAGGAAGAACAGATGTCTCTCTGAAAGATTTTACAGCTTTTTGACCCATGAGAAGTTGTAAAAATTGGGTTCATAAATTTCCTCTGGAAATTATCTAACTCTCTGCTGATTTGCTGTGTCAGTTTTCCCAGAGCACAGAGTACCTCATTCCTGATCTCCATCCTGAACTCCTGTCAGGGTGTGTTGGAGGTCAGGGACTGCAGTAGGTAGTGACTTCATTCTGCAGAACTTGATGCTGAGAGATGTGTTCATTGTCATCCTGCTCCTGAAAGAGAAACATCAGAGCTCATGTGGCGAGAAACTGTTGGATGCTTTTTCTTTGTATTTAAACTCACAAGAAATGTCAAGAGTTAAAATACATAGAAAAGAGGGCTCACTTCTAGTAGGAATAATAAAGTTATTTCACTATATTTCATTGAAAAAATATTTCATATTTCTTCATTTCACTATATTTCATAAAAGCTTAGACTTCCTTCTGCAAGGCTTGTGTGATTGGACTTCCCCAACCAAGGATTGAAATCAGGTCACAGCAGTGCAAGTGCTGGATCCTAACCACTAAACAATGAGCAATCTATTCCCTATACCCTTCTAACTACTTAACAGTGATTTTGTCTATTTACGATTAGCTCTTAGTTCTGTTGACTTCAGACCATACCCTGTGGCCCTACAAAACAATAGATAGTGACCCTTTGGCATTTGAAATGGATTAAGGGGTCTTTGTCATCTCATTCTCATCAAATCACTTATTTCATTGGTTCCTTAATGTCATGTTGATTTTCACCCTCCCTTTTTTTTTTTCTAATGGGATCATTCAGATAAATCAAAGCCCCCAAGGTTTGCCCTTGAATCTTTGCTATGATTGGAACAGTTCATTTGTCCAGATTTATATTTTTCTCCAGGATTATAAGTAAGTGTGACCTAAGAGTTTGTGAGAGGATTCAGTTAAAATTCTAAAGAACTTGGAAAGTGGCTAGTCCATTAGTAGCAAGCAATAAAATTTAGTGATTATTTTAATATCATAATTACTAGTTCCCTGATTAAGATCAGGGTCTTTTGGAATCATTTAATTCCATTTCCTTTTAGTTTTTCTCAAAGCATCTTCTCATTGCCTGAGTGGATTTGTTACCTAGACAGATGCTCAGGAAGGCTGGTCTCCAAGACACTGCCAGAGAGGATTAGTGCTCTAGCAATTGGCATTCTAGTTGTCCACCTCTTGTTAGGTGGTGGGTTTGACTTCTTCCTTCTCTCCTGAAATTAATCCTACATGGAATAATTGAAAGAAAACTGAGAATAGCTGATCTTCCAAAGCAAAGGGCAGTCAACTGACCCAGGATTTGGCCTTCGTTGAGCTTCTGTCANAGCAATGTCCCAGCCTTTCTGCTGTTCACACTGGCCTCATGCTTCCCCTCTGCCACAGCCTCAGCCCCAGCTGTGCTGCACTGAGGTTTGTTAACTCAGAATTCATCATTGTGCCGGGGAAAACCACTTCCCTTCGTTCATGTTCAGACATTCAGACTTAGATTAGTTTTCTTTTTCGCCCACAAAAAAACTGTGGAACTTTACTTTGTAGGAACATGGCAAAGGGAAACAACAACAAAAACCCTAAAGTATTAAATATGATAGAGACACAGCCGCTCTGCCTTCTTTACTTCGCTTTATTGTTCTTACCTCAACATGAATTAGGTCTGGAGCAGGAGCAGCAAGACAAATCCTGGCCAACAAGTCACTTAATGAATGTAGAAACTAAGTGAAAAATTATAGTCAAGTGAAGGAAAAAAGGTTATTCCTCCCTGAAGGAGTAGTCTGATTCTCACCGGCCTTTGTTCTCAGAGGGAGAAAGAGACAGAGGAACAGAGAAGTGCAGTGGAATCAACTGCCTGAATGAATGACTGAAACTCACTAGATTCTGTGACCTAAGCTTCCAGTGAGAGACAACACCATCACTAAATCTCCTTCCTCCAGCTCAGAAACTCTGAGGAGAAAAGTGTTGAACAGTTTAAGTAGAAGTGTTGAATAATAAAATCTTTGTCATTTGATTGACAAATATCCAATTGGATGGATACATTTGAAGTTATTGGGAAATAGGTAAAATTAATACTTTAAATTGATGACATTTTCTTTTAACATATTGTGAATACATAAATGAAAATCAAAGAAGGAAGTAAAACTATATAGAAACAATTATAAAATGAAAACTACCATGTTCCCTATTTAATGGTCTTGCTTAGAAAGCATGACATCAGAGAACCTACCTCAAGGTTCCACCAGACGCTGTCTCCGCCAGCCCAGCAGGAGCCTCATCTTCCCCATGGCCTTCGTGCTCTCTTTACTGATGGCCCTGGTGCTGGTCAGCTATGGCCCGGGAGGATCCCTGGGCTGTGACCTGTCTCAGAACCACGTGCTGGCTGGCAGGAAGACCCTCAGGCTCCTGGGCCAAATGAGGAGGCTCTCCCCTCGCTTCTGTCTGCAGGACAGAACGGACTTCGCTTTCCCCCAGGAGATGGTGGAGGGCGGCCAGCTGCAGGAGGCCCAGGCCGTCTCTGTGCTCCACGAGGTGCTCCAGCAGACCTTCACCCTCTTCCACACAGAGCGCTCCTCTGCTGCCTGGGACACCACCCTCCTGGAGCAGCTCCGCACTGGACTCCATCAGCAGCTGGACCACCTGGACGCCTGCCTGGGGCAGGTGATGGGAGAGGAAGACTCTGCCCTGGGAAGGACGGGCCCCACGCTGGCCGTGAAGAGGTACTTCCAGGGAATCCATGTCTACCTGCAAGAGAAGGGATACAGCGACTGTGCCTGGGAAATCGTCAGACTGGAAATCATGAGATCCTTCTCTTCATCAACCAGCTTGCAAGAAAGGTTAAGAATGATGGATGGAGACTTGAACTCAACTTGAAATGACTCTCACTGACTAAGATGCAATATCACCCTTGTACGCTCACCTGCGGTCATTTAAGAGATTCTGAAATCTGTTTAGCCACAATATTTATTGAATTCAATAAATAAATACTTTCTCAGTAGCAATAAGCAAGTAGCTATACAAAGTATTCAGCTGCATGGGAATCAGTCCATAGCGATGGCTTCCCTGATGTTATTATGTGTTTCTTTATGTACATATTTTCATTTATTTTATTTCATCATATTTATATTTTCATATAAAATTTTTGTTTACATCATAATAAAATTTAGAAAACATGTTCATTTCCTCAATCTTCTAATTTGTTTTCTTCATTAAATTCTTATGAAAGTAAACTTGTTTATTCATTCTGAAGGCCATATCCTTATTTTGTCTCCATAAACCTATTGTGGAATAGCATCTGTCCATTCATACTTTAGAATGGTTCTATTACTTCTCAGGACTTGATTGTCAAAAGGTGGAATTCCTGGAGTCCCCTGGCAGTCCAGTGGTTTGGACTCCATGCTTCTAGTATGAGAAGCTCAGGTACCATGGATATCTGCTCAGAGAACTATGATTCTGCAAGCTACAGAGTGCAGCCCTCCATCCCACCCCTTCAAAAAAAAAAGAAAACAAGGTAGAAAAGGGAGTCTCTGAAACTGTGGAAAATGTTTAGTCCTGAAGTCACAAATAAACTAATTTATACCCAGTCAGCAAAGAACTGTTGGTGTCAGTATCTGGGGGAAGACTCATCTCCAGAAAAGTTGCCAACATGTGGTGTTGACTGACTGATCCTGACCCCTGTTACTCTTCCTCCCACCTTCTCCTCAGCCCTGCTTTACTGAACAATCCACTCCCTTGCACAATATCTTCACCGCCTCCAACACAGGAGCTGTGTCTGTGATGGTTTCTAGTTTCAAAGTTTCTCTCAGTGGAAGTCACTGGAAGACAGCACAAGTGAAAGGGGAGTTCTCGAAGTTTCAAAACCTTTGAATTGCAGCTCTGCTATTTAACAGCAGTGTGACCCTGAAAAATGTCACAAACACTAAGGAGAAGGACATGGCAACCCACTCCAGTATTCTTTCTTGCAAATCCCATGGACAGAGGAGCCTCGTGGGCTACAGTCCACGGGTCACAAGAGTAGGACATGACTGAACCAACGTAGAATGCATACAGGCATGCATGCCGTCTTGATCCTCTTCTTTAATATGGGGGAAATAACAGTAGTTTTTCATAGGATTACTGTTAGGATCAATGAGCCCATATTACAAGAAGCATAAAAGTGTGCCTGGCAGAAATGATTAGGACAGTGAGTCCCAGAGTAGCTGCCCACAGGGAGGAGACAGGACAGCTAGCCTGAGGCAATGACTGGAAGATAACAGTGTAAAGATGCTAAGTCTTTGGTAAAAATATTTAACTTGGGTGCTAGTT